ATGGACTTTTAAGATAATCAGTTAAACTAGCTAGCTATTTTTATTTTTGACGTTTTATTCCATTTTTATATCTAAATTTTAGTGAAAAGAATAAAAATAAAAAAACTTTTAGATATCAGTCCGCATATGTGATGGACATTAGTTATGATCATCTTTGGTATCTACTTTGAAGGCATCTTGAGTAAAACTGCTTCATTTTGCAAATGATAAACACCTGTGTCTCGTTTCAGTAATTGGTGTGGAGAGACCAGATAAAAGGGGCCACCTGGAGCATGTAAAGGGAGAGACTGACTGGGAACTCAAGCCACACAGGGAGACTGGTTGCGGGAGCCGGAATTGTATGCAGATTTATATTCTGAGTTATTTAATAAGTGATTGAAAGCGCAGTGGGCACCACTTCTTTTGTTTGTGCCAGAGAACCTCAAATAAAGCACGAGTCCCAGTCACGCCGACCCTGTCTTCTTCCTTCCCCCCTTTGAACCACATCACATCTGTATATAAAACAGAGCTTTTGTGTTAGTTACATCTTACTTAAATACAGAACAATGTGATTATTGGCCTCCAGGTTAAATGTTATAAATATATACTGTAACAAAATTGTACATCAAATTTCATGTTGATCATTGTTAGTTGCTTAGATTTTGTTGTTGGTTTGTCATTGGTTTATTTTATCAATTGATTCTGTTTTTACAGGAGCTGGAAAAGGTTTGGTTTTGTGTGACTGATGGGACGGTTTCAGTCTGGAGAGTCAGAGATCAACTCTCTGAACAGAGATCCAGAGACACACAGGACTCAGAGCTCAGCCTCGCTTTACTCCGTGCCACTGACGCTCAGGAGAGTGTGTGACAGTCATGGATCCAGCGATCAAACCTCCACAGAGTCTCTGGGTTCAGACTGTAACGCTGGAGAACAGCAGATGCTGCAGACGCCACTGAAGATGTGCTCAGTCAGACTGCTGGACTGCAGGAAGATGATGAAGACGAAGAGAGAAACCACAGCTGAGGAACAACAGAGTAATGATGAGGATGAAGTTTCTATTCCATCAGGTAATTTTGTTCCTTCAACCCTCTACGCACACCTTGGCAATATAATCGCCACAGGTTAAATGTTATAAATATATACTGTAACATTTGCCAAAATTGTACATCAAATTTCATGTTGATCATTGTTAGTTGCTTAGATTTTGTTGTTGGTTTGTCATTGGTTTATTTTATCAATTGATTCTGTTTTTACAGGAGCTGGAAAAGGTTTGGTTTTGTGTGACTGATGGGACGGTTTCAGTCTGGAGAGTCAGAGATCAACTCTCTGAACAGAGATCCAGAGACACACAGGACTCAGAGCTCAGCCTCGCTTTACTCCGTTCCACTGACGCTCAGGAGAGTGTGTGACAGTCATGGATCCAGCAATCAAACCTCCACAGAGTCTCTGGGTTCAGACTGTAACGCTGGAGAACAGCAGATGCTGCAGACGCCACTGAAGATGTCCTCAGTCAAACTGCTGGACTGCAGGAAGATGATGAAGATGAAGAGAGAAACCACAGCTGAGGAACAACAGAGTAATGATGAGGATGAAGTTTCTATTCCATCAGGTAATTTTGTTCCTTCAACCCTCTACGCACACCTTGGCAATATAATCGCCTTTGGCTAGTACATTTTTTTTGTTTACTTGCCAGACTGATCTACTATTTTACGCGCACACACACACACGTTTACTTGGCTATCTAAATGGGGACATTACATAGACTTCTATTGTTTTTATATACAGATAGTTATACACTTTTTAACCTAAACCCACCCCTACCCCTCACAGAAAAAATCAGCATTTTTACAATTTCAAAAGTTAAAAAAAGACTTTTGTTTACATTTTAACTGAACTTAGGACTGGTGGTGGTGTTTAAGATATTGTTGGTCATAGGTAATAGTAATTATTATTAAAAGATACTACTACTACTACTACTATTATTATCTGCTGGGTTCATGAATATTAATCCCGTTGTCGCTCGCTCTAACTGATTTGCTGAAATCAAAATGGGGACGGTAATAGATGAGCGCCAACCAACGAGAGCTGTTTGCGCATTAGCGACAGGAAAATACAACAAAGAATATGGTTTACATGTAGTGCGTCGATTCAGCGTGCTATGCAAGACTCTCGCTCTCTCTCTTTGCATGTGTGAGAAACACAGCTCTATCAGTAAAGCGACGGCGAGTCATGCTCCTTCACTCTAGTTTACGGTACGCCAAATACAGGTGCGCTGCGTGTTACATGCTGTGCATCCATTGAGTACATGACATGATCCATTGGGCTCATCCAAATAGTACAGATCGCTTGACGGAGAGTGAAACTCTTAAGCACTCAGTCAGCGTGTTTATCGAGTGAAAATCTGTGTTGAACGCCTCTCACACACATACTGGCATGTAAAATCTAAGAATTTATTAGCCAATGGCTAATGTTAGACATTATTTAGTCGCCCAGAGTAAGATTTAGTCGCATATGTAGATGGTTGTCCTTTAGTGTTTTTATCTTTTTACGACATTTCTGCCATGCCAAGACACTTCAAAATCACTCAAAAGTAGGGCTGGGTATCGAGTTTGATACTTTTTAGGCACCGACAGAATTGCCTCGATACCATCGTGTATCGAAAAACGTCTCGTCGTTCGGTACCAAATTTCGATACCTAAGGAGTTAATCTCATCAGCGTCAGTGAGCCAATAATTCGACTAGAAGAGGTGCGGCGCAGATCGAGTGTTGATATTTACTAGATTTAAGACTCATGAACACTAAATCCTAATTCAGTACTAAATATAAAACTGTTGCAAGTCAACAAAAAAGATACACTGTTTTATCCTTATCCTTTTTATCTTTAATAATGTTTATGTTAGTAAATGTTAATGAGTTGAAATCATTTTCCAATGTGTATTTGCATATTAAATAGCAAGCAATTTAGTTTTAATTCAGTATACTTTGTTATAGTGGTTACAGAATTAGTTATTTAATTCAATTCACAATATTTATTTATTAATTTTATAAGTAATCCAATGTTAACAGGTGGGGAGGAAAGAAATTTACTTAAGAAATTTATTTAAAATGTAATATGTAGAACACTGGAATTGTTGCGTATTAAGTAAAATTTTATATAAAAATGTTATATAAAAATAAATCATAGCAGGTTTGAAAGGCTGAAATTTAAATATGAAAATATAAAAAGTTAAGTTATGCATCAAGAAATTAAATCAAACAAATGTTGAATCGGTTAGAAATATAATAGTCAAGTCACCTTTATTTATATAGCACTTTATACAATACGGATTGCGTCAAAGCAGCTTTACAGTGTCAGACAGGAAAATAGTTTGTCAATAATGCAAGAAGACGGTAACAAAGAGTCATTTTTCCAGCTAAAGTCAGTGGACTGTATAATTGATTTATTAATAGACTTAGAAAGTTAGCTTTTGCTGGTAGATGCCTTATTTGAAGAAGCCCTGAAGATAATCGTACTGGACTGAAATATTCTTTTTTTATGAATCGCCTTTGGTGCACTTGTAAAACTTTCTTATCAAATGTTTTTTTTTTTCAATAGAAGCTTATTGATCACGGTTCTTAGACTCAGACTAATTAATTAAGTAAGGGATAATGCACGGGTAGCTGTGCATTAAACAATTTTAATGCACAACGTGGAGGCCAAGAACCACCCGACGCAAAGCTTATAACATGGTCATTTGCCAGCATTGACATCTTAAAAGCTGTTTATTATGTTTGCAGCAGAATATTTAACCGGAAGGGTAAAAATGACCATTATTTTTGTCAGTTACGGCTCTTTAGATCTAGCATTCTGCCCACTTTAAATCAGATACAGAGATGAAATAGTGCGGTAAGACCACATTTATTTGAATGAATTATCGATCGAGAGAGAGATGACAGTTGTGTGTGTGAGTTACCTGTGTCTCCGCGTCTCTCTCTACAAACAATGAAGCTGTTTAGTTACTTCAAAAACGGTGATTTTACCCCCTCCTTGCTGAGAAATATAATGTAGCGATCTAGTATCTAGGGTATTTTATAAATATTTTTTATATATTTTTATAAAAGTCGCAGGGCTTGAAAATACACAACAAAGTAAGTTGATCCACATTTGACAGCCTCTGAACTTGGTCAATACTAATCTTATTAATAGCTTACATTTCTTCCCCACCGCAGAAACCACCACAGGTTCATCAATGCCGTCAAAATTATAATTTTTTTTTAGGGCTGCACGATAAATTGCATGCGATTGTCATGCGCATCTCGTCAGTAAAGCTGGTTCTGTGATTAGTAGTAAATCTCCATCACGTGCTTTCAGATGGAGCGGCATTTCATACACCGAGCCGTTGTTCACTGACAAGCTACGCAATATCGCGTTCATCTGCGATTATGAATGCGATATTGCGTAGCTTGTCAGTTACTGTTTACAATGCGTGGAATGGTGCGCTTTGTTTGATTGAGCGGATGTATCGCATTCTGTGGGAGACTGGCGTTTGTTGCGGTTTGGAAAGATAGGGAGAAAACATGACCGAATAACACAGCGGATACCGCATTTTGCGCAAAATTAAAAAATGACTTTTCAATACCGACCAGATACAATACTGATTTTGGCAGGAATGGCGTTTATCGCGTTTTGGAACCAAACTCTTCATATTCTGTTCCTTAAAAAAAACTGCACATGCATAGTTAGTCTTTTCAGATGTTTCATATTTCAGGGAAATCACTCAACTGACCGGATAGATTATAAGTGGGTTTGAGTTTTTACCTGCATCATTAAGGCCTGGGCCAAAGTATGGATAGAGTTTCTCAGTGAAAGTCTGACCAGTGAAAGAGTAGATATGAGAGCTGGAGCCCACGTCATAAAAAGAGACCAGACCCTCCTCATAATCCACAAACACTCCCACCTTCTCAGGTGTCTTTGTGTAAGAGAAAGCAACTGCTGGATTATCACAAGCTATACACTGACTCCGATTAATTGATATCATTGACCAGAGACCATCCTCAGGGCTCGGACTAATGTCCCCCTTCCTCTTAATGGATTCTCTGGCCACTCCTAAACTCCACCCAGTCTTTCCCTTCACCTGCACCTCATAGTAAAATCTGCCTGAATTGAATCCCTGCTTTGCCAGAACACAAATGTCATTAAATCTCTTTGGGTTTTCTGGGATGTCCTGCTTAAAGTCTCCATGACTGACTTGCTTTCCATCATCAGACAGGATGAGATATGGATTCGCTGAATCAGGATCCAGAGTCACATCCACTAGATGAGAGATTAGACATTATCAATCAACTTCATCAACAAAACATTTTCATATGTTTATAAAGCAGATTATAAATTATTTTAAGTGTATTGAAGAAAATGGTGTCGGTCATACTGTACCTGCATACTTCTGTACACACCCCAACCCTGTGGACACAGATGGCATTATAATGTGACTTAATTCTGTATTGGAATATTTCAGATATCATTGATTTTATCTCTATTTACTGTGAAAACAAACCTATTGAATCTACTCAAACTTGACAATTTGTACTCAGTTTGTTTAGGTAGATTTTATCCCATGTGTTGAGTACCTAATTTTAACCGCTATGACCCATTAATAGAAATTTGATAAAGTCTACCTAACATTTGTCAATGTTTTACACAATTAATTGCTGACAAAAAAGCAAATATGCAATATTCACTTAATTCATGTACCGACCTACAGAGACCACAGGACATTCAGAGTCATGTCAAAATCCAACAAATGGTGCTTCAAATTAAAAACTCCTTAATGCTGTTATCGTATGATTGGTAAGGTTGAAAAATCAAGCATTGCGTTAGTTCAGGCGGGCCACGTCAGTCAAGCTCGCGTCAGCTGATAGTCAGCTGTTCTTGACGTGTACCAATCCAGCTTTGACACTTGTCACAGCGGTCCATTTAAATTCCCATTCTCCGGCATCTCTTCTATCGCATCGCTGTTAGCAAATCAACTCCCTCCTCCAACCCCAACTGAACCTGTAATCTAATCAGATTTTTTTTCTCCTCTCCTCTTCATATACAGTTCATTATTGCAAGCATGTTCTATCATGTATTTTGTATTTTCTACAACTCATGCAAATTGTAATTGTTTATGCATATACTGAATCTGTTCTGTACCCCAGGGGGGTTTGACTTGCTGCTCTCCCTGCTCTGTCCAAGCATGGCTGCATGGACAGGCATGGGGAGTTTTGCCCAGAACAGAACCATACTGCCAACACTAACTGTATGCTATATAATTATACTTTGACGAAGTAGACCTGACTGAATTGGTATGAATCTTTAGCAGATGTCGTAGCATATGTCCTGAAATGACATGTCTACATAAAAAAATGCAGCCAAAAATGGCCAGCCGTTAAAAACGTCAAAAAATGGACATATTCTTACTTTGTGTGAAAATGAGTATGTGTACTAAACAATATATTTCAGCCAATATATTTGTTAGGTCTGGCCCATAATGACTATGTCATATATGCCTGTATTGTATGTGGACAAAGTACAAACTTATCAAAAATGTGTACATGTAAAGATACGGTCACTCTGAAGTAAAATAAGTTGGCTGAAGTAAAATAAGTCCACTTCAAAAGGAGATATTTTATTGAACAGAAATCACTTTTCAAAAACTACAACAAACGACTCGTTTGAACTACAACAAATATTTTCCAGGATTTGTGATATCACAAATACCGACGAATGGGACGAGACCAGGTTGAGCTGCACTAGAGAAGGCAACGAGTGTTATCACTATGTCGGAGACACGCTAGCTTTCCCAAGGCAGACAAACTTAGAGTGTTTACAATCATCCGGGTTTAAAGGGGTCATATGATGCGATTTAAATTTTTCCTTTCTCTTTGGAGTGTTACAAGCTCTTAGTGCATAAAGAAGATCTGTTGCAAAGACTAAAGTCTCAAATCCAAAGAGATATTCTTTATAAAAGTTAAGAGTCAGCCACACCTGCCTAAAACGGCTCGTTCTAACACACCCCCACATATCTACCTCACTATATGGGAAGATTTGCATAACGCTGCCCAAATGTTCACGCAAAGAAAGAAGGCGTAACTTTTATTCTCGCTGTAGTATTGTTGTTGCCACCGCCGTCATGTCGTGAATGCGCTGTGTGATTCATTGTGAAAGCGAAACTACTTTGTTAGGCCTTCCCAAAGAGGACGTTATCTGCTTCGTCATGCCTGGAGCTGATCCGTGCTGGTTGCTGAGGAAATACTTCAACTTCGCGCTGTGGATCGCCGGATCGGCTTTCACCATGGACGAAGCAGAGTCC